TTGCCCTGCAGAGCATGGCGGCATACGGCCCTGGTCTTTGCAGGCTTTCCCGAAGCATCCTTTCTTTTTCCGTCTCTGAAATCCTCATCAGAGTGATGTCGCTCATGGTGACCTGCTTTGAATTAGGTAGGGGAATGTTAGTATTGGGACTGCTTGCCTGTTCCTTTACAGAACTGTAACCGGCGGTTTACAGCCACGCGGTGGAGGCGGGAGAGGGGCAGCATACAGGGATCTTTCCCTGGGACAGCCGCGAGGGAGTGGGACAGGGGCAGAGTTCATGCTTGCCGGATTGCTTTCAATGTGAAAGGAGGCCAGTGCTACTATTAAAGTTTTAAGCAGCCACAAGTCTACGGCTTACCATGTCGGCCTGCTACACAAATTCTGGTGTCCTGCCCCGCTTCTCTGATCTGCACTGCAAGACCCCAAGCACTGAATGCGAAGGCCGAAAATTCGACCTTGTCCTGAGTGCGCAGTGATAGGTGCTGTGCATGGTCTTGTTCACAGAGAAAGACTATGTTCTTTGTTCACAACTAAATTTATCTTTCTGAGGAATTCACTCCCTTTTTCCCATTCCCACAGCTGCGACTGTCTCCCGACCTAGCCTGGCATCACACTCCCAGAGGCTAGCGCAGATTAGGCGTAGGAAGAAGAGGACACGGGAGGACATGTTCTCAGAACTTATGGGCTGCTCCCGAGCCCAGGCAGCCCAGCAGACCCAGTGGAGGGATAACTTGTCCCAAATGCACCGATCACACATGGAACGGGAGGAGAGGTGGCGGCAGGAAGACCAGCAGGCGACTCAAATGCTGCTTGGACTAATGGGGGAGCAAATGGACATGCTCCGGCACCTTGTGGATGTTCTGCAGGACCGGAGGCAGGAGGACAGAGCCCCGCTGCAGTCTCTCTCTAACTGCCCTCCCCCGCCACCAAGTCCCATACCCCCCTCACCCAAAGTCCAAAGAAGGAGGGGCGGCAGAGTCAGTGAAAACTCTCACTCCACCCCTGCAGACTGCTTTAGTACTAGAAGGCTCTCATTCCCCAAAATTTGACAAGTCCTTTTCTTCCCGCCTTACCCAAGCCCCCGTCCAAGTTTCACCCCCCAGTTTCATGTGTAGTTGCTAATAAAAAATACGTTTCTGTTAATTACTGTTTCCATCATGTTCTTTTAGAGGAGAGTCTGTCTGAAGGGGGGAAAGGGGGTTGGTAATTGGACAGGACAGTCACCTTTACCAGGGTACAGAGGCGGGGGCAGGTTCAGCAGCAGGGCACACACACATTGCAGTCACTAGTTACCCTGGTCAGTCTGGGAGGTGGTTTTCATGTTCTGTGGGGGCGGGGGGGGCTCTGTGACTTTGTGGAGGGGGAGGGCAGTTAGAGATCTTATGCAGCAGTCCTTATCCTGGATCACAGAGCCACACAGCACGGGATTTGTAACCGTCTTCCCCCTGCCACAAAGTCACATAGCCCCCACACACACAGAGTCCCGAACAGGAGGGGTGGCAGACTCAGTTGAAACAACCAGTCCACCACTGCGGAGCCTGTCATTCCTGGAGTTTAGAAGCGTCATTTGCATCACTACACTACACCCGCTCCCCACCACAGTCTGCGTCCCAGGTTCAACACTTTCCCGCGAAAACAGTAATAAAGAAAACGGTGTTCATTAACAAAATTCAAGTGATTTTTATTTTTAAATGTGGGTTGGAAGGGGGGGAACGGGGTATGTAACTGGAGAGGATACTGAACATTTAGTGGGTAAAGAAACGGGGGCAGGTTCAGCTTCTCTGTAACCAAATTTAAAAGTCACAGGTTACCCTGCTCACTCAGGAACCTAGCTTTCAAAGCCTCCCAGATGCACAGCGCGTCCCGCTGGGCTCTTCTAATCGCCCGGCTGTCTGGCTGGGCGTAATCAGCAGCCAGGCTATTTGCCTCAACCTCCCACCTCGCCATAAAGGTCTCCCCCTTGCTCTCACAGAGATTGTGGAGCACACAGCAAGCTGCAATAACAATGGGGATATTGGTTTCGCTGAGATCACAGCGAGTCAGTAAGCTTCTCCATCTCCCCTTGAGACGGCCAAAAGCACACTCCACCACCATTCTGCACTTGCTCAGCCGGTAGTTGAAGAGTTCTTTTTCAGTGTCCAGGGCGCCAGTATAGGGCTTCATGAGCCAGGGCATTAGCGGGTAGGCTGGGTCCCCGAGGATGACTATAGGCATCTCCACATCCCCAAGAGTTATTTTGTGGTCCGGGAAGTAAATACCTTCCTGCAGCCGTCTAAACAGACCTGAGTTCCTGAACACGCGAGCGTCATGAACCTTTCCCGGCCATCCGACGTTGATGTTTGTAAAACGTCCCCTATGGTCCACCAGTGCTTGCAGCACCATTGAAAAGTAGCCCTTTCTGTTTATGTACTGGCTGGCCTGGTGGCCCGGTCCCAGGATAGGGATGTGAGTTCCATCTATAGCCCCACCGCAGTTTGGGAATCCCATCGCGGCGAAGCCATCTATGATGACCTGCGCGTTTCCCAGGGTCACTACCTTTGAGAGCAGTACCTCAACGATTGCGTTGGCTACTTGCATGACAACAACCCCCACGGTAGATTTGCCCACGCCAAAGTGGTTCGCGACTGACCGGTAGCTGTCTGGCGTTGCAAGCTTCCAGAGGGCTATGGCTACTCGCTTCTGGACAGTCAGGGCTGCTTGCATCCGGGTGTCATTGCGCTTCAGGGCAAGGGACAGCAACTCACAAAGTTCCATGAAAGTCCCCTTCCGCATGCGAAAGTTTCGCAGCCACTGGGATTCATCCCAGACCTGCAGCACTATGCGGTCCCACCAGTCCGTGCTTGTTTCCCGGGCCCAGAATCGCCGTTCCACAGCATCAACATGACCCATTGCCACTGTGATGTCCTCGGCGCGGGGTCCAGTGCTTTGTGACAGGTCTGTGCCACTCTCAGACTTCAGGTCCTCACCGCGCTGCTGTAGCCTCCTCGCCTGATTTCTCTGCATCTGCCTCTGGGAAAGGTGGATGATAAGCTGTGAGGTGTTGACAACGGCCATAACTGCAGCGATGGTCGCAGCGGGCTCCATGCTCGCAGTGCTGTGGCGTCTGCACTGTCACTGACCAGAAAAGTGCGCGAACTGATTTCCCGCCGGCGCTTTCAGGGAGGGAGGGAGGGCGGTAGTGACGGAAGGATGACGACAGTTACCCAAAAGCACCCTCGACACATTTTTTTACCCAGAAGGCATTGGCGGCTCGACCCAGAATTCCAATGGGCAGCGGGGACTGCGGGAACTGTGGGATAGCTGCCCACAGTGCACCGCTTCCAATGTCGATGCTTTCCCCGTTAGTGTGGTCTCACAAAGTCGAATTACTGTCCTTAGTGTGGACACCCACGTTCGATTTTGTAATATCTATTCCACATATTCGATTTAAGTAAAATCGAACTACTCTCGTAGTGTAGACATACCCTAAGGAAGTTGTCCCACGGAATTGTGGGTTATTTCTGGCAGACTACCTACTGGACATGAGCAAGTGGGGCTGTGTATACACTGCAAAGCAATAGAAGCGCTAGCATGGGCCTATGTTGCAGTGTAGATGTACCATAGGTCTAACTTGAGGACCAGGCAAATTGGTTGAAACTGTAGTAAAAAAAATAGAATAATCAGCCACATAGATGAACACGATATATTGGGGAAGCGTCAACATGACTTTTGTAAAGAGAAATCCTGCCTCACCAATCTGTTAGAACTCTTTGAGGGTGTCAACAAGCATGTGGACAAGTGTGATCCAGATGTGTTATAGTGTACTTGGACTTTCTGAAAGCTTTTGACAAGGTCCCACACCAAAGGCTCTTAAGCAAAGTAAGCACTCATGGGATAAGAGAGAAGGTTCTCTCATGGATCAGTAACTGGTTAAAAGGGTGGGAATAAATGGTCAGTTTTCACAATGGAAAGTGGTTATCCGTAAGGATCTGTGCTGGGACCTGTGTTATTCAACATATTCATAGATGATCTAGAAAGGGGGGGTAAATAGTGAAGTGGCAAAGTTTGCAGATAATACAAAATTACTCAAGTTAGTTAAATCCAAAGCAGACTGTGAAGCGTTACAAAGGTATCTCATAAACTGGGTGATTGGGCAACAAAATGGCAAATGAAATTCAGTGTTGATAAGTGCAAAGTAATGCATGTTGGAAAACATAATCCAAACTATACTAAACTAAAACGATGGGATCTAAATTGGCTGTTACTACTAAAGAAAGTGATCTTGGAATCAACATGAATAGTTCTCTGAAAATAAATGCTCAATGTGCAGCGGTAGTAAAAAAATGAACATTATTAGGAACCATTAGGAAAGGAATAGTTAAGACAGAAAATATAATGCCACTATACGAATCCATGGTATGCCCACACCTTGAATGCTGCATGTAGTTCTAGTCGCCCCATCTTGGAAAAGGTACAGAGAAGAACAATAAAAATGATTAGTGGTATGGAACAGCTTCCTTTTGAGGAGAGATTAAAAAGACTGTTTCTGTTTATCTTAGAAATGAGACAACTAAGGGGGGAAATGATAGAAATCTATAAAATCGTGAATGGGGTGGAGAAAGTGAAGTGTTATTTACCTCTTCATGTAACACAAGAACTAGGGGTCCCACAATGAAATTAATAGGCAGCAGGTTTAAAACAAACAAAAGGAAGTATTTCTTCACACAAGGCACAGACAACCTGTGGAACTCGTTGTGATGCTGGCAAACCAGGTGCTAGCTCTTGCCAAGACTGCAAGCATTAGCTAAGAACTAACAGACTCATAGCTGGAGACTGGACCAGTTCACCTGTGGGTTAGTTTTGCTCAAAATTAGTCTTATAAGAATGCATTTAGTGTTTAGACTGTGAAATGCTTGTAAGTTGCTGCATGCATGAATCTCACTTTTAATGTCTGTATTCTATGCTACAAAAAATACGTAAGTTTTGCTTTATAACTTTGAAAATGTTTGTTCTCAACCCAGGTATGGGAATCGTCCCCCCCCAGCCATCCAGAAGGACTATCAAAATAAAGATGAGCCATCAAGGAACATCACAATACAAAGGATTGGTTAATGGCCCTATCCTACCTGGGAAAAGCTACATGCAAGGAAGCTCATCCTATGGACTTGAAAACTGAATGAAGGAAATAAAATCACAGGAAATTTGTCTATCTCTCTCTTTGCTGTTTGAACTCTGGGAGGGCCAGAGACTGAGGCAGATATCCCCAGACACTTTGAATTGACAGATCTCTACAGCTCTGTCACTCTAGTGATTTAGATGATAACTCATTTGTGTATGTGTATATTTGCTTGCTTTAACCTGTAAATAACTCTTATTTCTTTTTCCTAGTTTAATAAACCTTTAGATAGTTTATTACAGGATTGGTTACAGGCATTGTCTATGGCAGGGGTCGGCAACGTTCAGCACGCGGCTCGCCAGGGTAAGCACCCTGGCGGACCGGGCCAGTTTATTTACCTGCTGACGCGGCAGGTTCGGCCGATCGCGGCCCCCACTGGCCGCGGTTCGCCATCCCGGGCCAATGGGGGCGGCGAGAAGCGGCGTGAGAGAGCGATGTGCTGGCCGCGGCTTCCCGCCGCCCCCATTGACCCGGGACGGCGAACCGCGGCCAGTGGGGGCCACGATCGGCCGAACCTGCCGCGTCAGCAGGTAAATAAACTGGCCCGGTCCGCCAGGGTGCTTACCCTGGCGAGCCGCGTGCCGAACGTTGCCGACCCCTGGTCTATGGTGTAAGCTCCTTGGTTCCAATTGATCTGGGGTAAGTGACTGGTCTCTTGGGAATGGACGCAACCTGAATATTGTGTGATTTTTTTTTTTTTTTTGTGTGACCATTTATCACTGAGTCCAGCTTGCCTGGGTGGCAAGATAAACTGGAAAGTATAAGGGGACTGTCTGTGACTCCATGGTAATACTGTTACACCAGGAGTTCACATTTGTTACTGAGTTGGTGAAATCGAATTATAGAACACACCACCAGTCTGCCCTGTTTTTAACAGTCTGCCCTGCGGTAGGCCCTTGTGAGCTGCTCCAGACAGCGTGACATGCGTTGCCAGGATATGTTGTGAAGGTCAAAAGTAGGTTAAAAAAATAACTAGTTAAGTTCATGGAGGATAGCTTCATCAATGGCTATTAGCCAAGATTGTCAGGGACACAACCCCATGCTCTGGGTATCCCTAAGCTTCTGACTTCCAGATGCTGGGACTGGATGACAGGGGATAGATCACTCGATAATTGCCCTGTTTTGTTCATTACCTCTGAAGCACCTGGCACTGTCCACTGTCGGAAGACAGGATACTGGGCTATATGGACCATTGGTCTGACCCAGTATGGCCGTTGTTATGTTCTTATGAGATCCTTGTGTACAAAAAGATCTATAAAAATACAAATTACAGTGTGGATGCTTGTAATTTTTGTCCTGCTCTGAGTTGAACTGCTTTGAGAAAGACGATACTGATTTTTTTTTTTTTTTTTTTGGTCGTAGTAAAACGTAATGGCTGCAGCTGTGTTTACCTGTAGTATAATCCTAGTGTTTATCTCTTCAGTGAAGGCAGGTAAGTTGATCAGATGGTTTCCTAATTACCTTCTCTGAAATGCACTCTTTTACACATACATGTATTAAAGTAACTTACTTCTCAGATACCTGAAAACAGCTATTTAAGAACAGAGATGTAGTAACCAGTAGTGATGCTAGTCTGAACTCTATATTTAGGGTGTGCTGTATTTTCATTATAAAATGGTGTGGCTTTTATTTTTGTGATCTTAAGTTGCCCTGGTGTGAAGTTTCAGTGCATTATGTATGCTTTCCACACATAGGCATTTTTAAATGGGCACTGGAAAAAGTATTGAATATCCTAAATTTGACACACATTTGACAATTTCAGTGTGGAGAATTCTCAAGACCTATATCTGTAAATCTTTCAGTGTCTGTGTATAATCCTACAATGTATACACCTTATTGTTCCAGATCTGGGAAGGGTTAGGCTGACAAATTATTTTACATGGGGCCTTGAGATTGTATCTGTTGATTCCATGCTGCAGTTGACAG